AAAAAAAAAAAAACAAAAAAAAAACAAATACAGTTCTGGCCAAATAGCTCAGCGGATTAAAGTGCCTGCAAGCAGGCGCAGGGACCAGGGGTTCGATCCCCAGGCTTACCATGTAGGACCCTGGTGTATGCTGAGACAGCAATTCAGACTGGGCGTGGTGGCACGCACCTGTAATAACCAGCTCTTGGGAGTCTGTAAACAGGTGGATCACTAGGAGTCTAATCTAGTAGCGAGACCTAGAACAACCTGTAAGCCTTTCCTTAAAATGCAAAAGAAAAGAACTATGCACACACACACACACACACACACACACACACAGTAGCCTATTTGTTCATATTACAACATTTGATAAGGATACCCACTTCAATAAGGACATTTTCTAAAACAATAATTGCTGTTTATTAAATGTTCTCATAGAATATATGGTTAGGTGGTAGATTGTCTCGTCTTTTCAGTGTGAAAGTGCAGTCTGTCTATACCACCCCATACCTACGATGTAATGTAAATGTTCCCACTAAAAGATGTCTCTGCCAGCTTGAGCCTTGGACACTGGGTATCACTGGTCACAGTCTGAGGTAGGATATGGGTTAACAGTCCTTTTTTTTTTTTTTGGTTGTGACATTTATACTGTTTTCCTTAATAGAATAGTCTTATTGTTAATAGCATTATTAGTAATATGGGTAAATAACTAGAAAATAATTTGACGATTAAATTGTTCATTCTCTTTGGCTTTGTAATTTTGTTTCTATAAATTTATCTTGGAAAATATTCAGAGAAGCCTGCAAAGATGTGTGTACTTATTGTTTTATTTGCAGTCGTGAAAACCTGAGTGTGAACAGTAGCAGGATCTTAAAATTGCTAAACCAACTCATGATTTTACGCAATTTTTTTTTTTTTTTTAACTTTAAAGTTGTCTTTCCAAGTGTTTTACATTTTATAGTCTGAGAGAGTAAATAGTGGGCACTGGTCAAGGGTTATTGTGTTCTGCCTCACCCTGGCCTGAGAATGTCCCCGTACCTTTCCCATGCAGACTCCCCTGGCTTCCGTGTAGTGCAGGAGGAGAGCTGCCCTGTGGGGAAGGAGGGGGTGCAGTGCTGTGGAGCTTGAGTGTTGCTGAGCACGGGCTTCCGCGCTGCTTGCTTGCTCCAAGACCCTCGGCCCTGGAGTCAGGAAGGGGCTCCTCACAGATGCCAGAGTTACAAGTTGATCTTCTGGAATGCTCTTTAAGAGAAATGAGGGCCTGCCTAATGGCTCAGTGGATTAAAGTGCCTGCAAGCAGGTGCAGGGGCCAGGGGCTCCATCCCGGGGCTGCGCCACCCCTGGACCTGCAATCGAGGCTGGGCGTGCTGGCCACGCATGTCATCCAGCACTTGGGAGGCTGTGAACAGGAGAATCACTATCAGTCCAGTCAGTCCAATCTAATAGTAAGACCCGGAACACTCTGTAGACCCTTCCCTAAAATACAGGGGAAAAAAAGAAAAATGAGTAAGTTAGTTTCGTTGTTTTTGTAAAATGTGATTAGAATTTGAGGCTTTTGCGCTTTATCTGGGCTTTATGTCATTAACAAGGAAAAACATGGATGCTAACGATAATGCTGGTTTTCATTGTCAAGGAATTTGTCTTTTAATATCAAAGACAGCTATTTTAGTGAGAGGCACAGTCTCTTGATGTCGCAATTTTTCATCTTTAAATAAAAACATTTCTTTGATTAAGTAAATAGATGTTTCTACGAATATAGCAGTCATGTTTATTAAACATTTGAATTTGATGGCTTTGTTTATGACTTTCACCCATATTTTATTAATCTGTTGAAGTTGACATAAACAAGTTTTGTTAATATACTAGTAAATGAATAACATTATAGCAGTGAAAATAAATTTTAAGGAAACCAGATGTTTTTATAGCACCGTACTGCTTGCGAAGCTCTTCACGTTGTTGCAGTCGGTCCTCAGCTCTGTGAGATGATAGGCGTTGATGCGGAATCCCGAGCACTGGTGCACCAGAGCCCGGGCCACAGCGCGCAGTGCCAAGTGAGATGGCAGAGCGGACCGCCGATCCCGGCCTGCTGCAGGGCTCGTTCTGTATTTTTCTGACTCACTAAGCAACCATATCACAGAGTAATCATCATTTTTTCTGCTCTGCATGAAGCTAAAAGATTGAATGTAGGCTTAAATGAGTACTAGCTTCAATTCTTAACCTCCTTCATATTTTTCTTAAGAATATTAGTCTAGTCCTAGCCCAGGTTCGGTGAGTGTGCCGAGAGTTTCCTGCTACCCTGCGCCGGC